AGAAAGCTTGTTCTAATGGTTCAGGCCGCTGCAGTCAAAAAAGGCTCGGACATTGTCTTCTGCCAATCTGCGATTCATGAATCTGCGTCGTTTGCATCAGGTGCAGATCAGTTTCAGGATCGAGCCATCAAGTGAGCAAGGAGACTCCAAGCCTCATAGGTTCAGAAGTTTGTGGATGAGCAACTTGACCCTTGAACTGGGAGTTTGGTGCTTTGATGCGTTTACTTTTATGCGGCAGGTGGGATGCCTCTGTGTTTCACAGGCCCGCAGGCCACGCTGCAAAGGAGCGTATGTCCCAGGCAAACAGAGACATCCCCCACGCCGCAAGATTTGTAGAGCTCGTCAGAATTTTCCGACTTCGGCTCATCACCGGCTAAACGACCAACCATCTCTCGCTTCACCATGAAATGACGTTTGACACCTTGTCCTTCGCATCTGCTTTGACCTCTTTCTTCCAGTGATGGAGGCCTTGAGTTTTATAAGATGGAGGCCACACAAGCTACCTCCCTCGTGACCGCTGTGTCGTGAAACGACGCGGCAATTTTCAGAACAGCGAGTCTTGGCCTGAAGCTGGCCACCACCAGTTCTCACTTGGCAGATCCGTGTCAGTCAAAAGTCTTGCTGTGGCTTTAGGATGAAGCTCTACCAACGGGTTTGTCCCGCCTTATGTAAATAGCGCTCAAACCAGTACGACCGATAGGACTGCAACTGCTTGGTTTTTGGTCTGTGCGGGTGGGATGGGAGGCGGCATGATGCCGTGTACCATCTACCTGATGCGTGAAGCGCTAGAGGAGCTTGCCTTTTCTTGCAACTACAGGATGAAGAAGGCTGAATACAGGCAAAGGCAGAGGGGACCCTGCGTTCCTCGGCCCCCCAAACCAGGGCCCGTCTCTGGGAGGATTCACATATTATAGGGTCCTATTCCTTGGATTCATATTCTCGCTTGCGCTGGGACTGTTTTCTGAGGCCGTCGCCCTTGCAGTACCACTACCGGACCAAGCTCACGCCACATGCACAGGACTGACTTGAATAGGATTGTAGCACAGCAGCAGAAAATGCCACATCCTGATTGTTGGGAATATCACCAGCCTGGAAGGCTCCAACCCTAGGGTGTTGTACATGGAGACTTGGCAAGAGATTCCTCTGAACTCTCACGTTCTTTTGCACAGGTAATTTCCAAATTTCGGGTCTAAATCTGGTATCTTCAAAGTCGGCCCAAACTAATCAGCAGAACCTAAGCGGAGCTCATAGCTTTGACAGTACCGCAGCAGGTCCAGGGCGCAGCCATCTCCATTTCCCAGCAGCTAACGCACTGCATTTGTTCTTTTCCATTGTTTCTCCCGGATGGGCAAGCTTCATAAGCTATCCATCTTCATCATCACAAGGGAGGGGCCGTTCATTATCGGATTGCCGTGCCTTGTGAACGAGCCTGGGTCGTGCTGTAAGGACAAACTGTGCTTTGCCCTTTGTACTGTGATCCTTCGGTGCCTTGTCTTTCGGCGCTGGTTGTAGCCCTGTGCGACAGAGGTTCTGTTGGTCTTAGTCCTTTTGCTTAGGACTTTGAGTCCGCAGCGTAGCTTCACCTCTGAGGAAGGCTACGTTGGTGAAGAATTAATTTTGGTTCTGTGAGTTCACTGGAAGGGTAGAGTACCTTTCAGTGTAGGGTATCACATTACCATGTGAGCTGTAGTCCAAACTCCTTACAGGGGTTATATAGGGGAGTAGTATAGGGTTTATTAAAGGGGCATATGGCATATTAGGAGTTTAGACTATAGCTCAGATTCGTAGTTTCCATTTTCTTTTCCATTATCCCTATAATTCATATTCCCATGACCCCCATGCTCGTGTTGATATTCGTGTGGAATTTGACAGGAGCCTCCACCCCGGCGCCAGCGTCGAGCGCGGGGCAGTGAGGCTTATCACGGGACCAGGGTCCGGTGCTTGCTTTTATTCGGGTACTATAGTACTATAGTATAATATAATATTAGTGTCATATAATAATAGAGTAGAATCTTATATCATACTATGTATAATATAGCAGAATACTGGAGTATAATATAATTCTAAGTCTGGCTGGTTTGAAATGGTGTCTGACTCGTGGGGACACCGCAACAGGGTAAAGGCAGACGGGCTTGCTTCGCTGATAGTCAGAATCAGAATCCTTCCCAGGAGCTTCCCCTGCTTCCCCATTGAGAGGCTTGTGGGAAGCACCCATGCATGGGCCAACTTCCTTCCTATCTTCGGGTTGGTAGGATTTGAAGTCAGGGGCTTGGTGTTGGTATTTTCATGTGTTCGTTGAGGCAATTGGATTTCAGAACTTCAAGCTCAGGATGTGAGCTTGGGGTGAGTAATGCAGAACTGTGGCTTGAGGACTCTCCGTACGGCACGCGACGTACCTGAAAGTGCTGATAGGGCTACCAAGGGCATATCTTATGTGAGACCAGGGGAGCTCCAAGCGAGGAGAGGTGATCTGTGTAGGCATGCCTCACTTCCTGAAAGGCAATTGTAGCTTTGGAATTATTGTCTGAACCGTACCTGGTCACTACAATGCAAACCTTCATCGAATCGCCACGAATCACGACCCATGCTTGTGTACTTGACAGGATGACATTGACTATTCTGCGATTGGCTTTCTTGAGCAGGCGCGCCTACCTGTTGTATGCAAGGATCAGAACGGGCACGATGTAGCAAGAAAGGGGATTCTCTGCCACAAGGATGCCCCAGTTTGGGGGTAGGCCCGTTGGGCCCTTCAGCTTGAAATTAAACGAGCGCAGGAAAAATAATCATCCTACCGTTAGCATCCACATTGCATTCTTATGGTGTCATGCAAAAGATCCTGGTTCGGGGGATCATTTTGCTTAGGCGTTCTTTCGGGAAGCCGCTCGGAGGATGAAAGCACATCTAGCTGGAAGTCGGCTCCCACAAAAGGTGATTTTGGCGAAGTGCTTTGTTCGGTCTTGCAATCAAGAAAGACGTGTTTGTTAGCAAGCTTACGCCCGCCCCAAGCAGGAGGGTAAGTGTGTTGTAGGTCCTGCACGATGATCACCTGAACGCATGCGAACAATCTTATCCCAGGTTGATAGCACATTAACTCATAGTTCATCGAGCCATGTACGAGCATGGGTCCTAAGCATGAGTCCTACCCGCCTGGCTGGAGGACTGGGGATCGACTCGAGATGCCTCGGGTCGCCGTTGGCGCAAAGTCGTCGACGTGCCGCCTGAAGCCCAAGACCTGTCTATAAATGTGGGAGCTGGAGTAAGTACTAACAGCATTCCCTGCTGGAGTCCCTACTTAGTGTTTGTACAAGATGCGCCAAAACCCAGTTCGAATTGTTGAGGCCCCTGTATGCAAATAGCTGGGCAGGAACAAGCTGTACCATCTCAAGGCACATGAAGCCGAAGCCGTGCTCCCATAGAATCCATTATCCTTCTGCAAGTCTTGCTCACTGATCCTCGCCACCATTCGAGAATCGTTTGCCAGATCGCTCTTACTTTAAACTCTTGTCAATTTATGCAGCCCTATGGCTGCGCAATCATCAAGAATTCCTTTATACACTCCTACAAAGACCTGTGGTCGTTCTTGGTGCCTGCGTGATTTGGACGAGCTCGCCGAGGCCGGCTGGTACTAATATAGAAGTTTCCATTTTCTTTTCCATTATCCGTATTGTGAAGATGCAAGCAAAGCTGACATAGCAGCCTCGATGAGCCCGCTTGCTGTACCTGGCCTTGCGATGCTAGAAATGTTCTTCGTAACGTACTGTGAGTTTGTTTATTGGGCGGCATCGACATCTGAAACTTGTTATGCGGTTATCGCAGATGTAGTGCCCAAATCGCTTCGAAAGAGTTGAAGCGCTTGGAAACAGTGGTCAATAGGATTGCCGAGTCCCTCGGCGTTCTAGCTTACCAGAACTTCCAAACGAGACTTCTGGCTTGTTTGCTGTTGCTGGAAGGAATCAAGGTTGCCTGCATTGTTCACACCTGGGTGCTGATTTCAGGTCCTGCCCGATCGCAACCGAGGCATGTGGGGCCTGAAGTTGGCTGAGCAGTTGTCAAATGGCGTGTAGAGGGCTCCTGCATGGAACAAAAAGCTTCATGTCATTATGGAAGGGCTGCCCCGCGTAGCTCTAGCCTCAACAGATGGGACCTTTCAAATCCAAGGTCCGCTTTTCGAGGTCAGTAGACTCAGGATTCTGCAGCTTTGAGTGTCAGTCACAGATGAGTAACAGCACCATTCCATCTCAAGAGTAGATTTCTGCCGCTGCATGATGAGGATTTTTGTTTTTTTTTGTTTTGTTTTGCGGGGTTCGGTGTTGATCACAATGCGTGGACCCACAATGGCTAGAGGACTTGTGTAGTCCTTTCAACTATCAAGATCGCATGGCGAAGCAGATCTATCTAACCACCCAGTTACCCCCGTAGATATAGGACAAATTATAGATGATGAGGGGTTGTGCAGCTACTATCCGCTTCAGCTGTACAGGTTTCCGCAGCTGAGTGAGATTGGCTCGCAGAAGCTCCCTGTGTGAAATGGCGGATGCGAAGCCTAGCTATGAAGATGTGCATGGTGAGGCCAGCATGAAGGGATGTTTCGACAGAATTGCCCCCTCTTCTCTTTGGTTCTTGGTAATCCAGTTTCCATTTTCTTTTCCATTATCCCTATAAAATCACCATATACTATATAGTAGTTGTCATTTTCTTTTCCATTTTCCATCATCCCTGTATAACCCCAATATACTATATAGTAGTTTCCATTTTTTTCCATTGATTATCCTCTTGTGGAGAGATGGCCTTGGTTTTACCACGTAGCCCTTAAACTCGACCTTTCTTTGGATTGGTCCAAACAGAGCTTTGGTTTGACTGCAGAGTCCTACCCACAGAAAACCAGATTTTCTAAACGACCCCGACCTCTCCTCGTTGCAAGCAGTGACTTACCATATTCTGTATTACGCTGCTTATCCTCACAGAATCTTACAGATTCATCATCTCAAACTTCCACTGAGATGCCGGGCGGACCTGTGATCGATGAGGAGGGCCTAGCTGTACAGTCCACTGGCGAACCGGTCAAGAATCTGGTCGTCAATGCTTGAAGAGATTCCCAATAAATCCCGACCGCCATAGCGTCTGTGCAATCTTCATCATGCCTATATATGTATATATATGTAATATATATATACATATATATATATAGGAGCTCAGAGGGCATTCTTGTACTGTGGAACAAAACATATACTTTCGAAGGGATCATGCATCTGTCATACCTTCTTGAAGGTTCTCGTCATCCTGGAAAGCCCCTGCCCACACTGTCACCCGCAGTCCCGGATCATCTATTTCAATTCCGATCTTTAGGCATCCAAGGGTGAAGGCGAAGAGGGGCGATGGGGTTTGGCATTTACCTGGGATAGTTCTAGTGCGCTTGGTTTGGTGTCTTAGCTCGGATGCCCGCTAAATGTGTGACACGCGGCCCTGGAAATAGTTTGTGGTCTACGAAATCCTTGTTGATGATTTCAAGCTCTGGAGCCTGACGTCAGTACATCCAAGCTAGGGACCTCACACTCCTCTGCCTGAGTCGCAGTCCCTAGTCTAGCCCTGCACCCCGTCTGCAAATGCCTAAAATCTTCAATGCGACCCATCCCCCAGTGTAAACCCACTCACCAACCTTTGCTGGGTTTCGGGAAGTGGCTCTTGTGGATATTTTGAATAGCACAATCTTCAGATACCAGAAATCCAAGCTAAACCCAACCTTGGGCAGCTTGACCGTTCGCTCTCTTCGACCTTTTTGCACTTGTAGGCTATGCAGAAACCTTATGGGCTTCGCAGATTCCATTCGGATTTGCTTGCTCAGGAAAAGTTATCAAGAAGTCCATGGCAAAGTTGCTTGGTTGCAGTGCGCCTCTGGGCAGTGAGAGCAACGCTTCTAGTTGCATGCCGGCAATCCTCAAGGACATGTCAGCCCTAATCGCAACACCCTTACATCACATATCACTACGTTTCCTTCCCAAGGTTCCATTTCATCGCTTCATCTGAACAATAAATCAATTTCAGACCATTCGCTGAATGCTGAAGACTTGAACCCATTCACACAGAGACTCACATGTTTCGGCTTGGCAGATAGGTATCTGGAAGTAAGGCATGCTTGAGCGATGCATTCTCCCGACTCATTTGCCCCTGAATTTGGCCAGGGCCACTGCCCGCCAATTGCGATTTCCACCACTGGAGAGAACATCCCTTAAGGTTGGCTAACACATGCGAGCTGTCTTAGGCCGTGTTCCATCCAAAACTATTTAAAAGAGAGGAAAATGCTGTCACCGTCTGGAGAAGTGCATCTGTTAGCATCTTGTTGTTAGAGAGAACGAATGAGGGAGATGGTAGATGAACAAACTTGCCTGCAGTGTAGGAGTCAATGATTCAGGGTGAAGGTACCACTTCATTCAGTACTCATGGCGAGTAGTGGCAGGTGCTCAACCGTAGGGTTATCCTGGAAATCTTCAATCATGTCAGCGTTGTAGTGTTGTCATATGTCATCACGACCTACATGTTGGAGGTGGATCTCGCAAATCAAAAGCTGCAGATTTCCGAGCAACACATTTTACATCCGCAATCCCTCGAGCCCACACCCAACCAGCAGACAGCCTAAACAAAAGAGCCGAGGTTCCAGGAGGTCCTGTCAGAGACAGCAAAGGCTTAGCGGTTCAGTCGACGGGTGCACCTGCCAAGAAGCTTGGCCAGGAAGGCTCAATTTCTGGAGCTGAGTAAAGATATATAATACATTACAATACACTACAGTATATTATAATAAATTACAATATATTATGAAATACCATACCTATATACACATATATATATATACATATTACAAAATACCATAATGTATCATAATATACTACGATGCACGAGCTGTAGGAAGGCTTTGCCTCCCAGGAAGGTTCTCTGAGGTTTGAGTGGGACACATGGCAACCGTGGTATTCAGACTTCGTAGAAACTGTAATCAGAAGAGTAGCAGAGCAGCAAAAAAGACACCGCAGGCAATGACGGCTTTCAATTAGGGGATTATTGAGGGGTTCTACATGGATTATATAGGGATTCTAGGAGTATATATTGAGGTTATATAGGGGTTATAGGAATTATAAGGGACAGCGGATTCTTCAGTGGAGGATATGCAGGGAAGAGAAGTCGCGAGCATCTTCTGCATCATCAGTTTAGGCAGGGCCTGCGTCCAAGACATGAGTTTGTAGGCCTAATACTCCACGCCAAGACACTTTCTAGGTTCAAAGCCACGTTCAACATGCACAGAATTCTGCACGAGCCCTTCACAGCCCAGGAAGAGCTACCAAGAGGTCAACGGCCCAGCTGCCTGGCAGGCACAAATTTATCCCCAAGGAGGATCCTAAATCTTTTTGGATGTGCATGCATGGGAATCGTCCGAAAGAATCTCCCCTGATTAGAATTGTCAAGTCCCGTTGAATGGCTTCTGACGCCCCTAGGACGGGATGCCCGCAGGGATCAAGGAAGCCTCAGTCACCCCTGGCCACTTCAAGGTTCCCACAGGGCCAGTCATCGACAGCAAGGGGCTGGCGTGCCAAGTTTCCGGGGCACCCACCAAGAAGAAGACGTACGAAGAGGTGCACGGCAAGGCTTGGCGGTGGAGGGGAGTGGAGACAAGCATGCCCAGCAACTCAAACTTGTGGAATTCCATGACTGCACCGAATATCCCTGCATAGGATTGGAGAGATGATGCACTGCGCACTTTTTTTGTGCCTGTGCCAAAAGACTTGCTGTGGCTCCTCAAAATGAACTTGCCGTGGCTCCTCAAAATGAACTTATAGTGTAGTTGTTAGAGACACGTTTCCTTTGAAGGGCATGTTCCCACCGGCCCTTCCATCAGATGCCGGATGGCCCCGTCATTGATGAAGAGGGCCTGGCTGTGCAGTCCACAGGCGGCCCTCCCGAGTAGGCTCACATGGGAAGGAAGGGAGGGGGGGTTGGGAGGCTCTTGGCTTTGGAGGTGCCGATTGAAGGGGGTTTGGGTTTTTGGTTGGTGTGTAGGGTGCGCAAAGAGGGTGTAGGGTTTGGGTCTGAGCGGCTTTTATCTCTGTCAGACGTCGTGTTTCGGCATATGTAAGCCTTCCCGAAGATAGTTTGATGTCTGCCTCAAACAGTGGCATCCACGGGCGGATAAGATGAAGCGTGAGCCTTCGGCCAGCGAAATGCCAAGATCCATCACAAGGACCCCAGTAGAGCCCATAATAGTGAGTGAATGACATGGTCCGTGACAGGCAAAATGTGGCAGTGAGCCACGCAGCGACAGCACAAGTGCGTGCCGACAGCTTACGCCTTGGCTGGTTTAGGATGCGTTGCCTTGCCCCCAGTGTCGATCCCCTTCGTCCGGGACAAAGACAGAATTCAGGTGTAGAAGGGAGGACCGTAGGACGGGTCGAAAGTTCGTGCTCAAGGTCCAGGTTAATTAGAGTTCAAAGCACTGTGTTGCTTCAAGTCAAGCAAAGGTCGGGCATTGTAGCATCCTTCAGCTAAGTTGCCAAGTTTGTTCAATCCCGACGCTTGCTAGCCATGCACAAAGGGGCGTCCTGAGTCCAATTGACACACGTTTGTTGCAGCCCTTGTCTTGGCGAGATGGGCTTGACAGGGGGGGATGGGACGTGCCTAAGCCCAGCTGGGTGGCAGGCACGTCACCTGTTTCAAGTTTCACGCGCCACTGTGCAGTGGCCTGTGGCTCTCCCAAGGGAAGGCCAGCATACTTGATTTTTATCAAGAGTCTGCACACAGAAAGAAAAAGGGGCGGATAGCTTCGCACCCCCTGCCTGGAGTTGTGCCTAGTCGTACCTACAATCGCAGAATCATACAGGCGCAAACTCCTGAACCCATGCTTAGAAGGCAACGTGCCCCACCTTCCCTTCACAACCTTGACCCACATCCCTGCCATGTGGTTTTGGTCAAGGCTCCATATTCAAGTTCTTATTGTCCGTATTTTCGCGTGAGACCCCATGGTATATTGGGGGACCATGGTGGACCCTACCTTATTCTGTCCAGCTAGTGGTTGCTTTTGCTACAGAACTTTGCATTTCGTCAAGATCAAGACTCTTACGATTGGGATAAGAAGGATACAAACTTGGAGTGGAGTTTGTTTGACATTGCCAGCATCCACTGCCCTCCCATTAAGAGCTGCATCTACATACACGGCTTCACCACAAACCATACATATGTATGTCCTGCATCCCGACATCGTAACTGAGTTGCTTGACCCCAGCTCTTCATCAGAAACGTACATTGGGCGTAATGCTCCTTTGAGGCAGTCTGTACTTGCCCAGACGTCATGTCAGGGAGTACTAGGGAACATCCCACGTGCCGACGCGCTCTTTGCCAGGCCTTGAATGAAGCGCTGCCAGCGGAGCGCGCCAAGGCATGGGGTCTCTGGGGCTGAAGCATGTTTGAATGAGGGCTGATGTGATTTTGGTGCTTTCCTGACAGGATTTGTCCTTAAAGAGAGAGGCGATTGGGGTCGTACTTATAAGGTCTACTGAATCTGCGATGTTCTACGGCATTCTGTCGATGTGTGCCTGATGTCCAGACGTCATGTGTTAGTCGTAAGCGTCAGAGGCTGTTTCAGCTGACGCAGGGGCCGGACAGTTTCTGTTATGCTGACATTTATTCTCAGGCAGTTTTGGATTTTACGATCTCTGACAACAGGTGTTGTTCATTTTTTAATGCTGCCAAGGCAGCACCGATTATCCTTTAGACATGCCGCTGAATGAATGTAGGTGCCGTGCCGACCAGTGCTGCAGATAAAGGATTGATCCGTATGCTTCCCGCCAGAAACATTGCACCAGTCGATTGCCAATTGTCCAGGCCCCTAAAACCGTCTTCGGAAACTCCGAGAGCCTTCATACAATCATCAAGACAAATCCTTCGGAACCAGCATAAGTCCGCATAAGTAGATATAAGGAGTAGAGAAGACTGCATTTACCCGGGTGTACAATCTTTGAGCCCGTTAAAAATCTCGTCAAATGCTACTGAACCCTGATATCCTGCATGAACGAACTAGCACCAAGTTTTTGGCCTTGTGCTGCAAGGCCTTGTCAAACGGTCCACCACATGGTCAGCTGCTACTTCGCGCCTGTCCTAGCTTCCACAGAATTCCTCGACCCAATTTGGGCGCCTCTTACATACATACCGCCAAGTGAAAGTTTTTATTGAGACGCCGAACCCTCTCGATGGGTTTCTTTGTTTCTTTAGGCTTCAGTGCTTCTAGGTGATTCCTGTTCTAGACCTTTGAAACTGGCCCTCGCAGCCTCAGAGTCCTTCGGTAGCCTTGTTATGGGATTCCGTGATTTGAATGTTTCAAGTTTTTGCACTTCAAGGTCTGTCGAGGTGCGCTCAGGTTTACAAACATAACTTCGCGGTTGCTACAGCAGTTCCCGACTTTGCTTTGAGGGTGTGCAGCTTTTTGTTTCGGAAACGGGTTTGTACCACGTTTGGCTTCATGTCTGACTCCAAGACTGCTTTATTGAGTTCGCCCATTACAACAAAAGAGCGAGAGGTACCATACGCCCCTAATAAGCTGGGCAGCGTGATTGGCATCTGGGCCAGATATGCATACCCCTACCAAGTTTCAGTAACTGTCAGGCGACACCTCTGTGGACGGTGTAGTGCGAAGCCTCAGAAATTGTCTGCTCAGGTTCAAACTCGGGTTCTGTGAGAGATGGCCTCATGGTCTATTTATGAAGTCCTGCTGGGCCACAGCTTCATGTACAGTTGTGCTTGGGAGCTATGCCGGGAATCGCGCATAGACAGGTAACCTACTTGGAACGATAGCGCGCGGTTCCTGTCATCTAATCTAATTGCTGTTACTACTGTTTTTATTACTTTGATTGCTCCTATTACTGTTCTTACTTTTGACATTTTAGGTTAGGTTATTAGTATAATTATTACTGAGTCTAGGGCTTGCCTAGTGAGCGTTGGGGTTCTCCTCGAGGTGAGCGTTGGAGTTCTTCTCGAGGTCACCGATCCCGCCCGCATCGTCGCCGAGCGGCTCCCCGAGTTCGGGGTCGCGAGCTTGGCAAGCCCTGTCAACTTAGGGTTTAATTACTGGTTCTTGGTAGGGAAGAAGGGAACTGTTTATAATCCCTATGTACTATTCCCTGATTCTCTACTAAGAACCAGTGAGTTTAGGGTTTTGCGTTTAGCCTGTGGTCTGGTCTGGGGTTGAGGGTTTAGGCTTTGAAGGTTGTTGAAATTATCCTCCTTACGCTCGCTTACGCTCGCAAGAGGGTTAGCTCAGGGGGCGAATGAAGAACACTTGCAATCACCGCGGTCAGGACAAGTCCCCATGATTTTGTCTGTTGAGTGTAGGAATCTTCTGAATGCCGTACAACAGATACCGGCGGTTGGATGGGGCCCGCAGAATATGGATGTGATCTGGCTTTTAGGGAGTCAACGTACTCCCCACATAGGGGCTCCAAGTCAAGAGGGAAGCACCGAAGGAGGCCTGCAGAATCTGAGCAGTATCGTAAGACGCAGACATTCCCTTTAGGTCTCATCGAATATTGACCAGGGAAAGCAAGATGGCGTGGAAAGCCGCATGGAATTCCCTGCGCTTTGCTGCCTCTGCAGGCTTCCAGTATGTTTAGATGTCCAACAGTCTCATTCCATCTTATATATACCGTATACCCATCATGCTTGCAAGGTGCTGCAAAGGAGTTGCAAATGTCTCTACTTTCAGCAGACGTGGCTTGGACGAGGTATTTCACTTCAGAGCCGGTGGATTTTTCCAGCTGCTTGGCTGCCTTGTGGAGTCTGCATCAGCTTCTTGAATGGAGGGCTTTGCAATCATGGCGTCATATCCTCCTCCGGGAGATTGAGACAGAGACCTGCACTTTTTGTAGCTACCGGAAGGCGAGGAGGTCCAGAAGGCCCCAGGAACCCGATGGGAACTACAAGGCAATTCTGGGTCCTCGTATTTGGGATCTTGCAAGTGTTCGGATGGTGAAAGTCTTCAGACAGGTGCAGATTTCATACTCGAGAAGGCGTTATGGTGAGTAGGTCTTACAGCTCAATCACGGAAGCGTTGAAGAACCGCCCTCCCCTGGCATAAGTAATCATTACCAACACATGGAGAATCAAATTGACAAGGGAAATGGAACATGAAATGGCTTACCCTAAACCCTAAACCTTAAAAAAGCCCCAAAGTCGCAACTGAGGCCTTCCAGGGCCGTTGCCACATGTTCTCCTTCTATGCGTGTGACCACTACAAGTTTCTACACAACCCCCATATAACCCCTACATTATGCGTATAACCCCATGAAACGGAATTACGGTTTCCCATAGTATATGGGATCCATATTGGGGTCCCCGTGGTCAGGCCAACTACTATACATACCAAGTTTTCAGCTCATTTTCCGCTTTCAAATTTCCGATTGATTCTCCCTTTATAGGTGATCATTTATTGGATGTTCAGGCTTTTGTGCTTCTGCCTTTGATGCCTTCAGAACCTCGCACAACGGATATTCAAAATAGCCCTGAAGATGTCTGGCCTTGACCTTTGATGCCATACCTCAAGCCCGAGAGTCCTTGTCCTAGCACTGGCTCAAGGAACAATTCATCCATTCTGCCGGCGTTTGTACGGCCAGGAGCCCAGGAAGACCTCCACCTGCGAAAGAATTCGAGAAGGCTTTGATTTAGCGTCCATGGTCGGCAAGTTCTGGCCTAAACTTAAATATCTTCTGTTCTTTTTGAGGCTTGGAGCCTTTTAGGCTCTCGGATTCGACAACGGACTATGGTTGCGAGATGTTCAGAGTCTACAGCGGCTTTGCGGGCCTTTTGTAGGCCTTCTATGCCAGTACAATCCCTTTCTGTAGGCCCCAGGTGCATGTTCGCACAAGGTGTCTGGCATCGGAACGTAGGCATGCCTCTTCGACATTGAAGCACCGGCTTCCCATGCAGGCATGTGATATCAGCGGCCAGCGCATCCTGGATGGACGGCGAGTCCCCGCGCGCCATCTGCTCAGCTGAGCGGGAAACTTCATTGGCGAACCATTTGCATCAAGCTGTAGGAGGTGGACAGTTGACTTGACCCTCTTGGAGTGTTCTTAAGCTACGAGCCTCCGGAGTCAGCCGCAGGTCTTGGTCGACATCTTCTGCGGTGTGGGCCTGTTCGCCCTCAGCGCAGAGAGCCACTTCGAGCGTGTGATTGGTGTTGAGGCAGGAAGTCGTCTGCTGTGGGTGCAACCAGATTGATCACACGACGACAGTCGTGGGGTCATGCGGGTCACCCTCGCGTGCTGGTGCTGGTGTGCTCTTGCTTGGGTAGTCCCGCAATTCCTCAGACTTCACGCTGTGAATGGTTGGCTGAGCAAGGTTGCCTTTTCAGGATGCTGAGGCTTGGGGAATTAGGCGACACACGTGCTGCAACACCACAGGTGTTGGATCTAAGTCTTGCAGCCTGCTTCCATTCCCCTCAGAAAGTTTCAAATGTCTCAACAGGTTGAGGCAACGGCTGTTCGGGTGGCCCGCCTTGAGCCAAGTTTCAGCTTGTGAGGGCCCTCGTGCGTTGATGCTGACGCGTCGTGTTGCCGAAAATTAGAGACACGCTGACCCAAGCTGTTTGTATTTCGGAGAGGTGCTGCTACGCAGAGTACTTGTGTACTCTTAGGCTCGAACCCTCATCACACTTACTTGCTTCAAGAATCACTTCTGCTCTTGTAATGCGCTTCCAGGAGGCCTCAAGTCATAAAGCTTCCTGAGAAGATGATCCCTCTTGCCTTTCATGATGCTCGCTTTGCACTGTGAAAGAACGCCCAGGTCGAAATGCCTCAGAGCGAAGATCTGTGGCTGAGTTCCTGGCAGCCGACGCAGCTGATGGTCTCGCGACCCGGCCCCGGCTTCCACGTTCTTTATTCTTCTTCCAGCGCCCAGGGCAGGCCTGAAAGTTTCGGGTGTGAAATTTTTGCATTGGCTCATGGTCCGGTATAGAGTGTCACTGCTCCGGGTAGACATCGTGTTTTCAGCCGGGCTTGATTTTTTTGGAGATGATAAGCCTCTCGGCTACAGCCTGCCTGCAGATCTGAGTTGGCGGTCATTGTAAGCTGATAGAAAGTTCATGCTTAGTAGATGTTAGTCGTGGTCAGCTGGTCGCCAAGCGTGGGCTTTTTGACCTATCCTTTGCTTGTCTGAGCTTGGCCCGCACACTGAACCTCATAGGTAATGCTTACTATGATTTCATAGGGAGCAGGGCCGGAAGCTTCTTCTCCGCTCCGCCCTGACTCCTCCTTTCCCGTTTCTCGTCCCTGTTTTCCTTCCCTTTCTCCAGTGCCCTGGGGTACCGGTATTGCCTTATTTGTGCATTGCTTGCGCTAATTCTTCATGCAGCTGTTCCTAGAGCTCGAGCTCGCGCCACCTCTTTAGGCTCATTTATATATGACCTTAGACTTTGACTTCCACAACGTCAGTCCTGGGAAGGTTTCATCGTCAAAGTGGTAACGCCTGCAAAGGCCCACATTGAATTTCCCTGACAGCACCAGGCCTCAAAGGCCCGAGCAGTGACGGAGCCGTTCATCTTTTTACGAGTATGATAGACCACAATCCTTTGGAACACGGTATAAGGAATCCCCCCATAGACCCCACATTGCCTTTGAACCACCCCTACGAGCTGACCTGCGCTCTACAGATCTACAATTCCTCCCCTACTAGCAATAGGACTTCCCCCACCCTCGCAGTAGCAAACATTCCCTGTTCTTACCATACTGGGAAAATCCATTGTCGGGGGCAGGCAGGGGATGATAAAACCTCATGGGATTTTGGGATGGGTCTGCTAAGGCAGGTGGCAACTGTTGTGCCTCCTGAGGATGCTGTCAGCAGCTGAGGGCCAGGTCGGAGTCCGGGGTTCAAACATCTTATCGTTCAGGTTCATTTGGGCGGGCTTCTGCAGATGGATGAGCGATATGAAGGCATTATTTCACGCGATCTTTCTCCAAAGTGCACGAAGTAGGAAGTACTCGAACTATGCTTGCCAGCAAGGTCGGAGACATGCATTTTCGCCATAGAGTTCAGTGTGAGAGTCTCCCGCTCTGTGCCTGTGGGCAGAAGCATTGGCACCCGCAGCAACTTAATCCAAAGACCACATGGGTTCACCTTCACGGTGTGCCCCCAAGCGAGGACACCCGAATGGGGCCATGCTTTTCGGAGAGACGCCCACAACCAATTACAAACTTCCAATGTTGCAGGTTTGTCACGACACCTCAGAATGTCGTTTTGACAGATTTTGAGAGCACACACCCTATATCCCCCTATATGACCCCTATACAACCCCTATAAGCCCCCCCTCTAAGAAGAAACAAGGTTGCTATCCTTGATCCGCCACGGCAGGGACTGACTGTGGAGGCCACATGCTCTGAGTGAGTCTGACGGGACCAGCAGAAGCATTCAAGGTCCCATTCAGCAGGTGGGCTCCCAAAATTACAGGCCTCTATTTGGGGCCTTACTGCTCAGAATTCTTTACAGGGAAGCTTGCTTTTCAGACATATCCTTTCAGGAGCTCAGACTGCTTAGGGTGAAGGGTTTGCCTGGAGGACAGTGCCCTGAGTTGCGGCTGCAGCCATTTGTGAGCGGTCCTCCGCAGATGCTTACATAATGATTTTCGCGTATGATCAGCTACTCACATTATTGAGCGTTCCACGACGTATTGCCCCCCAAGCTTTTCCCTCGCAAGCCAAGTAGTCCACAGGAGTTATTGCGTGGCGCAACTTGTGTTCTGGCGAAAGTTCAAGGTTGTAGGGCCAGATGTAGATCGTCGAGTTGGAGCAAGCGCCGGGTGAGGGCCAGTTAGTTTGTTTATTGGTAGAGACTTTGTTAGGCACATTTCATGCAAGCCATTTTTTTCCCACCTGATTTTGTGTGGAGTTTCCGGGCAGGGAAGACGTATAATTCTGTTTCTCCTTCAAAGTACGGCATGGCATGAGGAAATTTCGACAACCACTCACCTCAAAGATTGCAGACATTTCTTCAGAGTCCTTCCCAAGCTTGAGCAGGATCCCAATCAGGCCTTGTTCTGCTTTACACTCCTTCAAGAGGTTCCAGGGCCTTCCAGGCGCACATTGGAAGCGACACATTTCCTGATCACCTACTTTAGCCACAAGAGCCTGAACAACTCAATGCTCGTAGTATGACTCCTTGGAAATCCACAGCTCATGTCCATAGGACCTAAGCTCTGTATCCCAAATCCTAAGGTCTTTCCAAACTCTCAGCCATTGGCCTCTCCACACCGTAAACTCTGAAGCTTAAGCCCTTTCAACCCTTCAACCTAATAAGCCCCTAACCCCGAACCTGAAAACCCTAAGCTTCCAAACCTCTCAGGCCCGTAAGGCGTTGGCTTCCTGGAGTCCAAGACGGGTGATTTACGTGTCCTGCGATTGCGCGGCTGGACTGCAGAAGTAGGGGTTCCTAAAATTGGGGGTACCATGCTGCCCTAACCCTGCTTAGGGTTTGAGGATGACCGAGAATGAAATGGGCTAAGGCACATGAAATGGAACGAACTGCAGTTTTAGATTTTGGATCCCGTTGATTGAGAAGTTGTGTGAGACAAAAGCGTGGGACTGTTTAGGATTTATGTATTCGAGGACTTATGATTCTGAGCCTCTTCTGACAGACGTTTTTGGGATGTTGTTTTCAGGAATTGGAGCGTACATTGGGCGGTAAATTGAGCTGGGAGCGAATGGAGCTAGTGCTCTGATTGAGATGGCTGCGGGTGGCTGCAAACATCTCGAAACCCTGCAACTCTGCTAAACCGCAGGAATGACAATAGTTGAGACGTCCTGAGTGGCGCCAGATCTCCTTGACTTCCATGGGTCTTAGCATCTTGCAGGTTTGCTACACAGGTCCCTGGATTCAACCAGGGCACATAGGAGGCAAAGCTGGTTCTGGTGCAGATTGTACTTGCGGCAGCAGATGCAAAGAGACCTGGACAGGATACTTGTAGTATAGTGGAGCAAAGGTTCTTATAACGCACGATGGGTGGAAGCGCATGGACCGGAAAAGGGGTCGAAGAGGGAATTGGAGCCTCAGCAAAATGGATGGCCAACAATTTTTGTTTTACTGGATTGTTGCATCATCTGACTACAGCACTTCAAATACAAGCCAGGCCTCTTGTGGTGACACCTCAAGTTCTGCAAAGCTGCTCGGGGTGTTCATTGACGTAGACGTAGTACCTAGCTTGGGCAATACGGACAAGAGGCGACCGCGGAGCGGATGAGTGCTTCTCACCTTTGTAGAAAATTTGCCAGGAACAACCCAGAACTCTAATCTAGGCCGTGTGGTATTCAGATATATAACAAGGGATCCATTGACAAAAACATTACATGTAAACGAACAAGACGCTTCAAACTCATCATCAGAATGATGCTTTCAATCTGAAGCCTTGAATCACCAGCAGGGGCAAAACACAGCATCGATACATGTCTATTCACTGGGGGCCCCAGAGAAAAAGATTCCCGCCTTCATGATGGAGCTGCGCGAGCACAGAGCCCTGATTTCCAGGCCACGAACCGCGAAGACTCATGAATATGCAAACTTAGAGACCTGAAGCTTTGAGGATCCATACCCATTACCTTCAGGTCGCCAATCTACATGAATAGTTAATCCCACCAACACCCATGTAGCTCAGGCAACTCAAGCTCGAGACCTCAAGGACAAGATGCTGGATGATATGGAGCCTAGGGATTATATGGGGTTATAAAGGGGCTATATTGGGATTATATAGGGATAATGGAAAAGAAAATGGAAGCTACAGGGATTATAGGGGTTATATTGGGGTTATATATTGGGTATAAGGGAATATATTGGGGTTATATTGGGATAATGGAAGCAGAAAATGGAAACTACTATGTATTTAGGGTTTTAGGGTGTAGGGTTGTAGAATATTGCGCAAAGCATTCTGAGAGAATCGTGGAGAAGAGCCGCTCTTACTGCCTGCGCTTTTTTGATGCATGAACAGGATCCCTGCAATTACAGGTCAATTCTGTCCACAGAAGGGAGAGTGTGGTTGCTCCTCTCTGGGAGGACTTGACTGATGCGGGCTACACCTTGAAATCCGCCACAGCCTCGGGCATTCCGAAGCCCAGCAGCTTCTGAGCTAGATGGTCCCTTTTTGGGGTACCCTAAATAAAGGGACCATATTGGGGCTCTATGGGGATAATGGAAAAGAAAATGGAAACTACTATAATTGTCTTGTTTTGCGGAAAGTTGTCTTGGACTGCCTGTTGTCAAGTCTGAGGCAACTCCATTCGATTTGTTTCCTCAGACACGGCACCTGGAGGCCACGCTCAAAACATCTCACCAAAACGGAACCCTCCTAGGCATGTGTGCCTGCAGCTGATGGGTCTTCAGGGTATCATGGGACATGGGGGACATGCCCCTAACCCTAAACCCTAAACCCTAAACCATCTGCCAACTGGATCCCTCTGAGCTGCAGGTGGTGGTCACACTTGAGCGTGATTTGGGCCCTGGCATCTGACTCGTTCAGGTGCTGTAGCCGCCGAAGCAATTGTAGTTCTAGACTCCCCGTATACGTATAGGATACCCAACAGACCCCTGTAGTACCTTTAACGAAAGAACACCATAATCCCGGAAGGGCCTTTAAAAGCTGCTGGGAAGATTGCATGCACTTCCCATATACATCTTGGTTGGGTTTGACGCCCCGCGCGAACAAAAAAGGCAGAGCTGTGCACCTCCATCATACACGGGTTATATAGGGGCATATTATATTGGGGTTATATAGGGATAATGGAAAAGAAAATGGAAACTACAAAAGGGGTTCGCACCTTCTAAAGATCTTTATGGAAAACTTCAGAGCCTTCGAGCATCCCTAAAAAACGTTACCAATACAGACGTTTTTTGACGTCTGAGGCCCCTATTAGTGTTTAGGGTTCAGGGTTTAGAATTTACGGTTTAGGGTTGATGGTTTAGGATTTGACGGTTTGGGTTTAGGTGATGAGTGTTGCCCGGGCAGTAACAGGGATCCTCGAGTCGCCGGGAATGCCCTTGAAGCGAACTCTTGCAGCAGCTTCGTGAATGTTTATTGGGTTTTTTCTAGATATGTCTAGGTTTTTAAGGTTTTTAAGGGTTTTATAGGGGTTGATGGGGTTTCTTGGGGTCCATAATGTTTTCAGGGCGTATAAGGTTAATAGAGTTTACGACGCTTTTAGGGCCTGTAGGGTTTTCTAGGTTCCCTAGAGGTTCATGGGAGTTTATAAGGTTTTGCAGGGGCTTTTTGGGGATCATGGAGCGTACAGGGTTCGTCAGGGTTCACGAGACCTCTATCAGGAGAAGTGGCCAGCAGCATGTCAAAAAGGAGACATGGAGCATTCTGCCTTGGCCATGGTTTGAGACATGCCGGGTTGGGGCTGAAGGCCAGAGCTGATAATTTCCTACTCTGTGGAAGTCAGGAAGTCAGGATTTGATCCAGGCGTTCTTCTTGGCAGCCTTTTTGCACGCACTTTGTAAACCGCGTCCTAGCTTCGGGTGTCGAACTTGGACTGACTGCTTGGAGGCCAGGCCGGCCTGAATTCCTGAACTCCAAATCCTGGATTGCTGTTTAGGCGCTTAAGTTACGCTACCACCATATATGGGTGTATAGTAAATAATCAGGTTTTCCTTACTATAGCAATTTAATTTAAGTCCGTCAACAGCAACCCAGAATCTTGAGCTTTCTCGTCGCCGGTCGGCCGCAGCATTGAAGCCATTTCCCACTCTTTGCATCTGCGCGCTGACAGCATCCAAGGTCGTTTGGCGGAGTCTTAGGTTTGGTGAAGAGGTATTTCACGGTTTCTTGTTGGATGCTTCTTTATGTGGATGCTGTAGAAGTTTTACGCAGCCAATGAACGGAGGTTGAGGGAGACACATTCAATCCAGCATGGGTAGACTGGCTAGCAGTGCGTTTATGTATACATATATACACAGTATAGATCAGCATGGCAGTCGTATTGCGCACGATATGTTTAATTGATGGGAAGAATCAACGCCGCAGTAGCGGCAGCCGTTTGTGCAGCCGCAGCAGCTGCAGCAGGCGCAGCAGCCACACCCGCAGCAGGCGCAGCAGCCACACGCAGCGGCCGCAGCCGCAGCAATGAATGACTTTGCAAGAGCAATACAGCTTCCGGTGCAGGGGGTAATGCAATTTGGAATGTTGCAGGGCTGGGTAAGCAGTCTTTGTTGGCCTTTGCAGCTCTTGTGTGACTGGGTAAAAAGTCTCATAACAGCGGCTTGGCCGCCAATTGTAGTTACGTGATCCCAGCTAGCACTACTCTGTAATCCCCCCACCTCCCCTACACCCTCAACCGAGAACCCTACACCCTACTTCCCATATGTGAGAGTTTCTCAAATCCCTAGGAAGGACCCTTTTGCCCAATCCGTTTACAACTCTTGTGTATTGCCAGGGCTCCGAGAGGGCCCCTGTTTTGAGAAGCCCCCGAATCACTACTGACTGAAGCATCAGGATGCGTGGCTCACGCGTCGCAGCGTTTGCCGCCGTGGCGTCTTGCTGCCTCGCTTTGGAGCTATTGTGAGACTTTCTTGAATTGATGCGTATACAATCCCTGGTCAGGACCCCTATGACATTATGATCTCCTCCTCATGACCTCATGAGTCCAACATTCTGAATGTCTTTGGGGTATCATCCATGTTAGATAGGGACCCTCCCTGTCACAGGTCCTCATAAGGCGCTACAACATTCATCAAACAAAGGTACCGTCTCTCCAGGGACAGGCTGTTTTCTGGTGTGTGTCAATGGCCCCTTTCTACCCCATTCAAGTTGCTTGCTGCTTACAGCTTCTCATGTGCGATGATCAGGTGAGTAGTATTTTATGTGGGTATACTGTATACTATACTTCCCAATATAGGGTAAGATTGTATCCTCCGGCATAGTCCTCCTTTAGAAGGAATATCAACCTAGGTACTTGGTTCAACCACCACAAAAACGCTACTCACATGAAATCAAGAGATTGTGACGTGACTTCATGCGACATGCTGTGCTTTGACTCACGATTGCATGCCCTGGGTGTTAGCAGTTCACCACCCTCCAAGTAGGACATGTCTATCTGATGACTCCCGGCACTACCGCACACTGGTCGCATGCCTGTGCAAGAACTCAAACAGAGTACTAGTCCAAACGTGGCAACATAAATGTGCCCCTTGTTGATCCATGATGTGCGTAATACATACTTACGCCTCTTCATGATCCTTCCAGAGAGAACAATCCCGCAGACTGCCACACAGCAGGTTTGCTCTCTGGGCAGGCCAGCTGGGCAGTGAACCTGTCGTAGGGACTAAGCTGGCTTCATAGGGTTGGATAGAGTCTGATAGAGGTTTCTGGATGTTACTAGGTGGGGTTGTATAGGAGTCTAGCTATTCTAGATGGGTCCGGCTATTTGCAAGTTGAGCTTCAAAGTTTACCTGCCGTATCGCAGGCTAAATGGCGCAGGGAGACCATCAGTGATTATACCGTTTCGACGGTAGCGGATCGTAAACCCTAAGCTATAAGTCTGAAGCCCAGACTCTTCACCTCTAAACCTTGGACTTCATAAAGAAAGAGTAACATAAAGTATAAAGTAAAGCAGCTCCTTGAACCCAATGGATTCTAGTGGCGATCTTCTGACCAAGATGCTCAGCTAAATAGGAGTTTTCAAAGTTCATGTCTTTTTGGGGTCCTCAGGAAGTCTACTGAAGTAGGAGTCTACCAGAGTTGGAAATCTAGCAAGTTGAACATGCCGGTGGGTTTCCGCTGTTTCTAAAGCTGCCGCGGTGGCCGCCTACTCCCGACATAGCTACCAGTGCCATTAGCATCTTGAGTCCTTCACCAGTTAGTTGAATACTGTAACCGATATTGAAGACGGTTATTGTGAATAGATGACCCTGGTGATGTTGTTTATTCCCTGTTACGCTCATTGGCATTATCACTATAAAGGCTGCGTAACTACCTCAGCCCAGCTCAAGCAGGCGTGAGGAGGGGGGAAGGAGGAAGGGGGAACCCAAACCCCAAACCCGAAACCCTAACCCTCGTGCAGTCGAAAAGAGTCGCAGCACAAAAAAAAATTAAAGAACCGGAGAACCCCACATGTGTAGTTTAACCTGGATCTAAATGATATGATAATAGGAAGCTGTCTCCCAGCGAAATAAGAAGACGCGTGTAAAAAGAAGATAAGAAGACGAAACGATGATCCGCGACGAAGCGACGAGCGTGTGGTGCGAGTGCGAATGAGAATATGTATTTTCTCATGTATGTATGTATGTATGTATGTATGTATGTATCCGGGTAAATGTGGTTTGCGCTGTACAAATGTTTTGAGTCTCGCCGTGACCCTTCTTCAAATTCTCCACTTTTACTGTTACCATGTAGTCTCTTTCGCGGTGAGCCTTCTAATTCTCCACTTTTACGGTGAGAGTATTTCATGGTGACCCTTCCAATTCTCCACTTTTACGATTAGACTCTTTCGCCTTGACCCTTCAAATTCTCCACTTTTACAGTTAGACTGTTTCGCCTTGACCCTTCCAATTTTCCACTTTTACGGTTCGACTCTTTCGCCTTGACTCTTCAAATTCTCCACTTTTACGGTTAGAGTATTTCATGGTGACCCTTCAAATTCTCCACCTTCACGGTTGCACTCTTTCGCCTTGACCCTCCAAATTCTCCACTTTTACGCCTAGAGTATTTCATCTTAGGGGTACTTGGAAACAATTTTTACTTTTTGCTTATTATAATCCTAAGAACAGCAAAAATTATAATTTTTACTAGGGTTCCAAGTTCTCCATAGTCATGGTGACCCTTCCAATTCTCCACTTTTACTGTTAGACTCCTTCGCCTTGACTCTTCAAATTCTCCACTTTTACGGAGAGAGTATTTCATGGTGACCCTTCCAATTCTCCACTTTTACGGTTAGACTGTTTCGCCTTGACCCTTCCAATTCTTCACTTTTACGGTTAGACTCTTTCACCGTGACCCTTCAAATTCTCCACTTTTATGGTTAGACTGTTTCACTGTTACCCTTCATGTATGTGTGTACGTATGCATGTATGTATGTATGTAGGTATTTATGTATGTATGTATATATATATATATTTGTATATATTCATACGTATGTAATGAAAGATCGACCGAATTTTGAGGATGCTCTGCAGGGGAGCGCGGTTTTGAATGAAAGAACAATGAAATTTCGAGGATGCTCCGCACGAGAGCGCGATTTCCGTCTAAATTTTCAGGACGCTCCGCACGGGAGCGCGATTTTCGTCTAAATTTTCAGGACGCTCCGCACGGGAGCGCGATTTTCATCAAAATTTTCAGGATGGGGAGCGCAATTTTCTTCAAAATTTTCAGGATGCTCCGCACGGGAGCGCGATTTTCGTCCAGATTTTCAGGATGCTTCGCACGGGAGCGCGATTTTCGTCCAAATTTTCCGGATGCTCTGCACGGGAGCGCGATTTTCATCAAAATTTTGAGGATGTTCGTCCAAATTTTCAGGA